CCCAATATTAGTAACAAATTCCATAACTTAAGCCATTTAGGCATATTATCAAACACCTTGTAGACATAAATCTCCACATCTCATCACCATATAATTAGTTCATCTAACTACCACCATTCATCAACAATTTATCCCACCATCATGATTAACTAATTTATAACTCCCAAAATCATATATATGACCATCCATCTACACTCAACCCACAAAGTTCCATTAAATAAACATCTTTCAATCTCTTTAATAGTTGTGTAATCAAATTGGGAACTTATGATTTTCAATCACCATACCAAGAGTTCCAATACTTATTCATACTCATATTACCTTAATAAATCCATACATGTAAGTATAAGGGTGTAGGATTACCTTTTTGGAAAAAATCTTGCAAAACCCTCCTTTGAGTTCTTAAAGAAATCCCTTGAAGATCTAAGTATTTTATGTGTAGATTTCATCAATACTAGTATATAAATGATGGAATTCACACCAAGATAATGGGGATTACTTACCTTGAATATGGGAGGGGTTGGAGGTCTTGATAGGGTGGAGGAAAACCCTAAAATTCGTCCAAATGAAGTGGGGAAAATAACCCCCGAAGGTTTTATATCAAAATAGGGTCGGGTTGACAAAAAAATGAAGATTTGCACAGCCGAGGCGCATGGGGCAGCGGTAATGAAAAATGTGTTTAGAAACAAAATTTGGAGGTGCTCTATTAATATACACAGCCGCGCCGCATGGGGCGGTGCGGTAGTGTAAAATTCTGCGCTAGTTTTGGTAAGTTGGTCATAACTTCTGGTAGGAGTGTCCAAATGTTGAACGGTTTGAAGCGTTAGAAACTAGACTCAAAGATCTTTCCTTTGATGGGCTGTGAATCACATAATACCTTATATAAATGTAGATATGCTCGTGCAAAGTTTGGTCTTGTGCGTGCTCATTTGGAATTTTTGTTTGTCATGAAATTTTCAAACTTGACTTAGACTTAGGCCTCTCCTTGGACCCCAAATCACTTATGATATGCTTCGTACACTTTTCTTCTTTGGCACCTACGATAGAGATCGGAGGTACTTGGCCCCCAAAGGGGATTGCGGTTTTAGATCCTAACCAATTGATAACCATCACATGAATACTCATTTAATACATCCACAACGGATTCAAATTTACGGGGTTTTACAGCTTTCCCCAATACTCTAAATGAAATTGGCTCAAATAAAATGAAACGATTTCAAAAAATTCATGTAACCAATCGCACCTAATTTCCAGCTGTAATGTACCCAATGTTTTAAAAGGTGTAAGTGTAAGGCGAGGCGTTTTACATATGCCTCACTGAAGCGTAAGCCCCATATGTATTTAATATTTTATAAAATAATATAATTACAGTAAATATTTATAAACAAGTAAAATTGCATAAAATTGAAGAAAACTAATATATATATATATATGTATAGACTTTTAAATTTAATATATTTCAGTTCCTTTTTAAAACTTTTTGAGTAATTACCAAGCTGATTTTTGAGAATTTGAGTATTATATGAAGGACATATTCAATAATTTTTGTTTTAATTTGAAAAACTCTCTAGGACTTACGCTTCACTAAAAAATGCGCCTCAAATATCCTTATTCACTGGTTTTTGTTGTTGTTTTTCTTAATCTATTTTGTGGTTCTTATAATGTTGCTATTATTCTTATAGTTCTATTGATGGTACTAATATATTGTCTATTCGTTTTTTTAAGTCGAGGGTCTTTCGGAAATAACCTTCCTATTTTTCGGAATAGAGGTAAGGTTTACGTAAACTCTATTTTCTTCAAATATCACTCGTAGGAACTCACTGAGTTGTTGTTATTTACAAGTTGTTGCAGAGTTAATAGTGCACACTCGAGAGGTAGTAGTTGCGAGTTTCCAAACATAAAAAGCAAAACCAACAACAACAACAATCCAATGAAGTTCCACAAGTGGGATCTAGGAGGATAGATGTACACAGCCTTATCTCTGCCTGAAAGCATACGGAGAGTATTTCCATAGACCCTCGGCTATAAAGAGCAAAACCGTCTTTTTGCTCTATAAAAAGCAAAACCGTGCCCCCAAAAAGCGTTAGCTTCTATAAAACTCCAAAGCTCCATATATACCATCCCCTCTTCTCTACCCCCTCCCCCGCACCTCGACCCTACCCCTTACACCACTCCGTATGCAATTGTATGTATATGTGTATATATAGAACACTGTTAAGGGTTTCTTGTTTTTAATCATTGTTGAGAAAGTCACATTTCGTCGAGTTATATTGTACGTAATGCTTTGAAATTTGAACATTTTGTATAATCAATCAAATGGAGGAAGAATTGTTAAAGCGCAACACTGATTGTGTCTATTTCTTAGCCTCTCCCCTCACTTGCAAGAAGGTTTTCGCATATTCTCTCCTTTTTCATTTATATTTCTTCGAATTTCGGCATTTTTTAAAATTTAAATTCTATATAACTTTATAGCAGGTTATTTATCATTCACGCTTAGGTTTCAATCAATGGTTATTATGTTCAATTACCTGCAATTACCATTTACATTGACCTAATTGTGTAAGTATTCGTTTCAAACTCTAGATTAATATCTTAATCTTTTTGTCTAGCAAACACTAATGTATAAAATGGAAATGTGTGTGTGTGTGTGTATCCTGTGCGTATACGGTGGGTCTTTATACACTGTTGGATGTATCTTTTGTCATGATTACGTCGCATTGGTTTCGTGGATTTTCTTTTTACAATTGAATTTTAAGTGTTTAAGTGGTGAGTTTATGCAAGGGAAGTTCAATGGGTTGAAGATGTGTGTGTTATGTTAACATATTCTAGCAAATTGAGTCGGCGATCGTGAATTCAGTTAGTTGTCTGCATTTAGTTTGCTCTGCTGGCGCATTTTCTTCTTTTAAGTTATTATTGTCTTTAATTGTGTTTTAATTTGTAATTTTAGCTTTTTAGTTCAAGTCTAATCAATTATGGTTTAGAGATGATGGGATCAGCCTCAATACATTGAACATTTGTCATTGTTGTTTTTGTTACCTGTGAATTCTTGACTCATGACATGAATACCTTTGTTCTTTTATTTCAAGTGTTGTATCTGAGAATCTGTGTTTTGTGATGTGGACATTTTTTACCAGGGAATAGAATGTGAATATAGACATAGTGAGATAGCTAGGCTCAACCCCAGGGACTGTTGGTACTGGCTGGCAGGAAGCTGTCTTAATCCAACATGTGCTTTTCGGCATCCGGTAAGCACGAAGCTTCCATGCCTTGAAATTGATATTTTTTCTGACTTCTGACGTATTATTACTGCGAACATGCAACTAAATAAACTATGCTTTTGTTCTGGCTTGAATATTTCTCCCAACTTAAAATAGTGTGTTGAGTTCAGACAAGAGCTATTTCCGCTTTCGAAATTTAAGAATATTAGTGTTAGTCTATTGTGCAGGATGCTTACACTATGTTTACTGTCTACATAAGGTCCAGAATGGTAGAACCATCACGACCTAAAAAGTAGGCTACCACATTTAGATGTAGAGAAAGCTTTACATATATGCTCGACGAAGTGTTGTTTGATGGTGTAAGGGAACTCATTTTGAAAGAAAATATCCAACTCTAGATATGTCGAGGTCATATTTTTATATTAAGAGAGTTAGAGTATATGATTTCCGAATAAAGGATATATGAAGAGGACGGTTAAACAAGTAAAGAATTCAAGAGAAGCTGGTGCAATTAAACCTTTAGATAATTGTACTAGTTTTTGATCAGTTTGGTGATTTGGGTATTTCGAGGACTCTGAGGTTTCAAATATCTTGCTACTCCTAAAAAATGTTGCATTGTACTCTTCTCGTGAAAGACTGGAAAAATGATATATTTCTGTTGAAGAAGCAAATTTCCTATCATCAGGAGTCTATATCCGCTAAAAATTACTGGCTCCTGAAGACCTGTGTCAGCCAAGAAAACAAGATACCATCAGGAGTAAAGAAACATAGATCTCCTCTAAAAGTTTCTGGCTCCCCAAGACCTGTGTCAGCCAAATCCATGGCAGCCATCAGGGGAATTTTAACTAGCTTAGAGCTCAAGTTCCAAATTCTTTTTTTTTGGGAAGAGTACAGTGCAACATTCTGTAGGAGCAGCACGATATTTGAAACTTCAAGAGTCCTTGAAGTGCCGTAATCACTAAATTGAGACTAAAAAACCTTTGCAATTATCTAAGGTTTAAGTGTTCACCAACATCTCGTGTATTTATTACTTATTCTAACTCATCATTTCATGTTCTAGAAAACATATACTCTAACTAAATCTTTAAACAATGACATTAATATGTCTAGAGTTGGATATTCTCTTTCAAAGTGATTTCCTATATGCCGTCAAACGTCACTTTGTCAAGTATATCTTGTAAAGCTTTCTCAGCAAACTTAATCCACTCTTCTGTGCTTGCATCCAATTGAGGTAGTCTGTTTTGTTTGGTAGCCTTTTTACTTTTCCTCCCCAGCCACTCCATTATTTCCTGTTCGTTCTCCTTCCCTAGGTGTGGGGGCCTAAAGATTCCCTATTGCAGGAGTTGTCGAATTGAGGGAGTTGTGTAAATCTTTTAAATGGAAATCAACATTTCCTTTTCATGTATTAGTTTTATGTAAGTATCTTGAAACTGACGTTACTTTGAAAAAGAGCAGCAAACACTCATCAGAATTTCAGTCCGTAGCCCTGTCTGCTGAATGGTTTTCTTAAATGAAGTTCTCAAAACCTCATGTCATTTGTAAATATTTAAAGGAACAATAGTGATTCTTGCTTGTATGTAAATTATGACGATGTACCAACAAAATTCTGCAAAAACCTACATAAGATCTAGCAAAGTGGATTCAAGTACTTTATGATAAAAAAGACTGCAACATGATCAGTTCAGAAGCATATTTTTAACTCCTAGAAATTCTCTGTTGAAGAAACTTTGGTTCTGCTCCCTCATTCCCCTGAATCTTAATGCCTTGGTGACTGATTTACCTTCTTCTTGTTACTCTGACACAAATGACTTCATCGTTCTCAAGCCACAGGAGAATTCAGTAATCTACCTCGCTTCTAATAAGTGGTTTTTACATATGAACACTGACATATAACATTCTTTCTCCTTTAGATTGTCACTTGGCTGTAAGATTTTGACGTTCAATTCTGCCAGAAATGAATGTTACCAATTCTGTATGCATATATAAGGCGCTAAGGTGTGCTCATATTAATTCTTCTGGTGGAACAGAAAAGAGGCTTTTGGGGGTATAAATGAGTTAAGTACTGGAGACTGGTTGATGAGGAGGGATAGCTTAATCGAAACTAATTCTCTTTCCCCACCAACTAAGAATCTTGTATAAAAAGCATCTGTATTGAGAGAAGAACTCTAATAGAAAGAAAACTGGCAGTTTTCGGGACCACCCACCTCCAACCATGAGGTTGGGGATTCGACTCATTAAGGAAGGAAAGCAGATAAAGGTTAGTGTTATGCAGGCCGGTTTCGGAGGTGGATTTACATACCCCCAAAAACAAAGAAAAAGTACCTGGAGATGGTCGTTAGATCTTCCCGAGTCTGAAGGTTTTTGCATCTGATTTCTCGTTTGGTTGGTCATTGCCTTGTACGACTTAATCGGGTTACTTAAGTACCTAGCTAACAAGAAATTAGATGCTTTAAAGCAAGGTTTGTCTCAGATCTTTCATGTCCTTATTTCTAACCTGTATAAAATTGCTTCTTGAACTTGTTATTTTTAATTCTTTGATTGTGTTAATTTTTTCTTGTTCATTTCCTCAGCCATTAGAGAGCCGTGCTGAGACATCATCGGAATCTGCTCTTCCACACAATAAAACTGCAGTGCCTGTTAACAAGACAAATGTTCCCTGTTACTTCTATTTCAATAGCTATTGTAATAAAGGTGAAAGATGTTCATTTCTGCATGGACCTGGTGATGGTACAACTGCATGGAAATCCTCGAGTATAGCGTCTGGAGTCCCTGAAGGACCAACAGCTGAGAAAAAGACGTCCGCAGGAAGTGAAACTGGTCCTGCATCAGTGGAGAAGCACTATAATTCTTCTGAAACTGGGTCCAAGGCAGCAGCACATGAATATATCAAGTCAAAAGTGCATCTCCCTTCAGTGAGTAATGATGTTGGTGAGCAGAGCGCTTCTCATGATAGTTCAGGATCTCCTTCTGAAGAAGCTACAGCTGTAAGGTTAGATTCCTTAGTCCCTGATGAAGCCTTTGCCCAAGGAGGATCCGATTTGTCCCCCAACCGGAGCTCAGACGAAGAAGTGGAGGAAATTGAGGAGAGAGAGGAGTGGTTGGAATCATCTCCCGGTTTTGATGTTCTTGTTGATGATAGAGTAGAAGGTTTGAGTCACGAAGATGATCACAGTTACCTACTGCATCATGATATGGAAGACAGGGAGCTTGATGAACGGTTTACTGGATATGATTTTGAGAACAACCTTGAGTATGATCCTGCATATCCAGACTTGAGAATTGTGTCTGAAGAAGAACTAGACGATTCTTATTGTAATAATGTTGAGAATCATGAGATAAATGAATATGTCAAAGAAATCGTTATCCCTGCTCGTGGAAGACAGAGTGTACCACTAAAAAGAAAGTTGCCCAGAGAACCGGATTGTCGTGGCAGAGGCAATGTGGACCTTCTGAAGAAGCGGCGAGTCATTGAAAGTGATCCTCCAAATTACTTGTCTAGAAGGTTAGACCTGTCTAGGTTTAATGCTCGTGAGCATCGCAGGGATAGGCATCAGCCACAGGGTTCTCAGTGGATGCCTCAGAGACTGGCTTCAAAAGTGGAAAGCAACGCTTCTTTCTCCTCCGGCTTTGTAGATGCCACTCTTCTGGACGGTGCCAATCAACTGAAGAAGTTGAGACAATCCCACAGAAGCAGTTGCAGGCAGCAGCATTTCAACGACAGGAGACGGGGCAGGTTGCGGCCTTTTGCAAATGAAACCCCTAGGAGGATGGCTTCTAGGCAGAGATTGACTGAAGTTCCTAAGATCTTTGGTGGACCAAAGACACTAGCTCAAATTAGAGAAGAAAAGGTAAGAGGAAGAGAAGATGGATATTCTTCTGAGAGAATTGTGCCATCTGGAGGAAATGAAAGAGAAGATTTTTCAGGTCCAAAACCTCTGAGTGAAATTCTCAAAGACAAAAAGAGGCTGAGTTCAGTAGTGAACTTAGGTAATTAGTAGAATCATAAAGCAATTAGTGAACTTAATGATGAAAACTTAGTTCTGAAAAAGCTTTACTTTAGCTTGGTGCAAAGTTTTGTTTTGACAGTGTTAAATGATGGAAGTGAAAATGGTAAGATTTTTTTGTAGAGGTGCTTGAATCTTCACAAGATTTTGAATCAACCTAGTCCATGCATGTGCCATGAGTATTTGGTAGAAGAAATTGTGCAATGGAGTAGCATAGGTAGATGGAATATAGCCTTTTACTATGATACTCCTTCCGTATCAAATTATGTGTGGTGTTTCTCTTTTATACGTCCCTTAAGAAAATATTAAATAGGAGAGATTTTTGACTGTTTACCCTTATTTATGTTTTAAGATATAATTTCTCTTCATTTAATATTTACTCATAATTGAGATATTTGTAGTGTTCAAGAATAATTAATATTAAGGATAAAATAGAAAAAAATAATTAATTTAGTATTGAACTTCTAAAATGACAATTAATTTGAGACAACTATTTTTAGAAACTACGACAGATAATTCGAGACGGGGAGTAATGTTTAAGCATTAATTCATCCTAAACTACAAGCCTGTGGAGTTTCTTTTGGCAGAGAGTGTTTTACCCTCATAAGAGTGTTTTACCCCATTGTAAGAGTTAAATTAGAAGTTGCGAAATTTTTCAGTACGAATCCGGATTAGTCAGATCCAATATGGGTACTAGACATCGGGTAGGAAATAAAAAAAGGATTAATTCATTTGTTACTTTAATTATTAATTCATTGGAAAATCTTATGTTTTTCAAATAATTACTCGACATATTAATACGTTATCACTCCATACTAAACCTCAATAACTCCTAACTCGTTACCAAAACATAGATAAAACAAATAGCACGAGGAAAAATTAACGTAATTTTAGAGAGTTCTCCAAATAATCAAATCAATCACATCGAAATAATCTGGAAGATTTAAAATAAAAAATCACTGTATTTGCTAGTGACATTTTCTTACTCATATTTTTTTATTTATGAAAATTTTGAAAACAAATTTTCTATTCAAAGATGGCTGCTACTTTCATATAAGTTTGACTGTCGTCCATATTTGTGCTTCCTTACTACCTTCATATTCAACCTACTTGCCTGATTGAAATTACAAGTCTTATCTCGGGTTCAAGTTTTGGGTATGGATTCGTCTTGGTTAGGGAGTGTATTATCCTCAAATGCGGGACTTTCTCGTGTGATTCCAAATTTAATCAGAGCACAATACATATGCCAAACACCGAGGGAGAAACAAAAAAAATAATCAAATTATCTAATTTAATGATATTACCAAATCCTATATACTGTCAATCCATATAACTTTAATCCTACCATTTATGATCGTAGGCAATAGTTCTCGAATAAGGACAGAAGAAAGAATTTAGTGGGCGTTTGGACATAAGAATTGTAAAATTCCGAAAAAAGTAATTTTTTTTTTCAAGTGAAAATATTATTTAAAAATTAGAGTTGTATTTGGACGTGAATATAATTTTGGATTGTTTTTGAATTTTTGTTAGTGATCCGAGTGAAAATTTTGACAGTTTTTTGGAGTTTTTCAATTTTTTCAAAAATTCCAAAATTCATCTTCAGGTGAAATTGAAAAATTTATGGGCAAACAATGATTTTGGAAAAAAGTGAAAAAAATTTCATGGCCAAACGGGCTAGTGTTTTTAATACTTCAAAAATAGTTTCACTAATTTCAAAGGGCAAACAAGTAATTTCAAAAACTACAAAATGGGATATCATTAATTTTATGATCACATCATTGTCCAACTAATCAATCTTTTCATATCTTATAATTTCTTATAGTATATCAACATTGAACAAATCCTTTTGACTCAAATTCACCTTGATATCTTCAAATCAAGAATTCCCCTTATTAGATCAAGAAGAAGAAGAAGAAGAATAAAGTGTCATGGCTTCAACTACAGGAGAAATATTGCCAAGGTCAGAAATATCATTTAGAAGACAAGGTTCATCAGGTTTAATATGGGATGATAAATTATTATCTGGGGAACTCAACAAAATTTCAACTCAAGATCATAGTCAAGAACAACACAAGAAAAAAGAACAAAAATCTTCATCATCGTCAGAAGAAAAACCTCGTATTAGTTATCGTTCTAAAGATAACTACATGCAACCCTCCATTGATCCTCCATCTCCTAAGGTATCTAGTTGTGGTATTTGTGGCATATTTGGTAAGCCTGTTAAATCTAAAAAACCACGTAAATTTGTCCAACGTAAGTCTTAGTGTGTAGTGAAATTGACCTCTATAAGTATTTCTCTGTGTTTTCTTATGGCTTTGTACTATGTTTCTTCTTCAGACATTATAAGGAATCATCTATTTTTGTTTTTGTTTTTGTTTGTAAGATAGAGACTTTTGTTACCCTTTTGTATGTAATCTTTTTCGGTATTTATAGTGTTACATGGGTTTTAAGCCGAGGGTCTATCGGAAATAGCCTTTCTATCTTCATCAGATAGGGGTAAGGTCTCTCTAGACCCCAGTTTGTTGTTGTTGTTATAGTGTTAGATGGAAATTTGGAGCAACGGTAAAATTGTCTCCTTGTGACCTATAGGTCAAGGGTTCGAGCCATGGAAGAAGTCATTAGTACTTGCATTATGGTAGGCTGGCTACGTCACATCCTCTTGAGATGTGGCCCTTCCCCCGACCCTGCGTAAACGCGGCTTGTGCATTGTGCTGCCCTTTGTTACAATGTTAGATGAGAATTTGGAGCACCGGTAAAGTTATCTCCGTATGACTTATAGATCACAGGTTCTAGCCGTGGAAGTAGCCACTAATATTGCTTGCATTAGGATAGCCTATCCACATCACATCCTCTTGAGATGTGGCCCTTCCCCCGACCCTGCGTGAACGCGGCTTGTGCATTGTGCTGCCCTTTGTTACAATGTTAGATGAGAATTTGGAGCACCGGTAAAGTTATCTCCGTATGACTTATAGATCACAGGTTCTAGCCGTGGAAGTAGCCACTAATATTGCTTGCATTAGGATAGCCTATCCACATCACATCCTCTTGAGATGTGGCCCTTCCCCCGACCCTGCGTGAACGCGGCTTGTGCATTGTGCTGCCCTTTGTTACAATGTTAGATGAGAATTTGGAGCACCGGAAAAGTTATCTCCGTGTGACCTATAGATCACAGGTTCTAGCCGTGGAAGTAGCGACTAATATTGCTTGCATTAGGATAGCCTATCTACATCACATCCTCTTGAGATATGGCCCTTCCCCGAACCCTGCATAAATATAGAATGACTTATGCATCGAGCTGCCATTTGTTACAGTGTTATATGGGTAAAAGGAAAATAGAAGATGTATCTTTTCTTCTTTTGTTTCTCTTAGGTATAGGTTTTTGCTCATAAGATCATTTCTCTCTGGACTATAGAACCACAAAACAATTATCTGTATACACCTATGTTCACACTACTATATATTAACTTATCATGATTAATGATAAAATATGTGACAACTATATTATTAACCATGGTTAAGTTAAAAGTGCGAACATGCGTTATGTATTTATAGGTTTAATTAGTGTAAATTAATATTGGATGTGGGTAAGTTTTAACTATAAATCTATTTGCTGTATTGCTATATACTTTTTTTTCTTGTATGAATTTTTTTTTAAATGTATAGAGAAGAAGTTTACATTTTCAAAATAGAAATATTTCTCTACTTTAGATGAAAGTGAAGCTTAGGTGCAACGGTTTAAGTTGCCGCCTATGACTAGAAGGTTACGAGTGACGAGTTTAAGCCGTAAAAATAATTTCTTGCAGAAATATTATTTAAAATTACGTATAACTGTTTCAATATAGTCCGATCTTTTAACCAAACCCCCCTCCACAAACACATCTACCCACTCGTAACGAAAATTTAGTGCGCCGAGCTATTCTTTTTAACCATTCTCTAATATTATAGACAGGTTGAAGCTTCATGAAAGTTGTTGAGTGTTTTGACTTTTTGTTAACAAATTAGTTGAATACAAAGCAAGTGCTATATTTTGAAACATTATTAATATGCCAAATTGGTCGATTAAATGCCTAACTCACACATCAATTCCCTAATTATGCAATAGTATGAGTAATATTTAAGTGAGTTATGAACATATTTTGTTCAGAAATTTCTACTCTCTCTAGGTGGAAGATTTACTTTAATTTCTTAGGCATAGACTCATAATGAATATTTGAAAGTTTCCGAGTTTGATCACCTAAAACAACAAGAAAATGACATGATATATTTAGGTATTTAGATGACAAAGGAAAAACTATAGATAAAGTGCTACTTGAATATATTATAATAAAAATATTCATTTTCGTTATATATATATATATAATCCAACCAAACCCAATTTCAATCTGTCAACCACCTTTTTGTTGCTTAGTTGCATGTTACAGTCCACACATTATATATTAATTAGAACCTGTAGGGGTCATTTCTATTATGGTTTCCTATATATTCTCCTTTCATTTTGGCATTAAATAAATAATGTCAATTTCGAAAATGAGGGATGTTTAAAATCAAGCCATTAGTTTTTTGTTATTTAGCCAAAATTTTCCTATTAAGTGCGATAGACCCCTCAAATAATATAGTCTTACCTACTATATGGCCCTCTAGGTCAATTTCACATAATTCAGCTCATTATTGAGCTATTATGGACTAGCATAAGTACAAAAGTATTTTACTGTTATGATAAAAAACAAAATATGGTGGATGTCTACTCTTCCTCCATGATCTTTCTCTCAAATGGTTAATGACATATT